ATCCCTTTAATAGTGCTTATCGTAACTATAATACACCTACATATTAAAAAGTTTCGACTATTTATTTTATTTTTATTTTTATTATTTTTTTATAAAAATATAGCAGATTTTTTTATTTAGTTAAGGTTTTTAATTAGATACATTACTTGCTTTCCGATATTTTGTATGCTTAATTTGTAAGTCTTTTTAAATTTAAAACATAATAGGGCATATTCATAGTCGAATCAAAGACTAAACTGAAAGTAATTTCGACTTTTTTGCCATATTTTTTTTTTTTTAAGTGTGGTCAGAGTGCTGAAATTATTTTTACTTTCAACTTTGTTTTTACCATGCACATATCCCATTATGTGATTACAACAAATACACACATTGTTACTGTAATTACATTTTCTAAGTATTGCGAATTCCGTGATAAAGTTATCCTCAAACGAAAGGACTTGTTCTTCCTGATTATATTGTAACCTAAACTTACCTATTTTTAATTAATTTAGCTGGCGAAAGACTATAAAAATGGGCACTAATGGGTTAAAATATGGCCATCAACGCGTTAAGCCAAAGTCGTAAATGGGTTAAATGATTCATAATTTGCATAATACTAAAAAAAAACAAATTAACTCAACATAAGACATTATAAAAACTGGGTCACCAGCGGGTTAACGCTTTATCAATAATGGGTTAAGACGTCAAAAATTTACTCTTAAAAAGTAGTTCAAGCGAGTCTAATGGAAAGAAAATGATTTCAGAATTTTGAGCACCCGCTTATATGGAGCGGCCCCAGTGTGCGTCGGTCCATTTCTAAAAAAAAATATGAATTATTTTAATATGAATTAATATTCATGAACAACACAGCGTGAGAATACTTAACCCAACGTATTCAATTTGGTTTTTACTTTTTTAACTTCCAATATAATAATTCGCTCAAGACAAAATGCAAATGTTCCCAACAATAGCAAAATGATGAATGGTCAATGCATAGCAAGATTTACATAAGTATATAAGTTGGCGCATTTCGCAGGTCCGTTATTACACGGTGTAGAAAATAAAGATGGCGCTATTTTCGGACCGCTAACCCTCTCTTCGTTTATTTAGCAGCATCCACCTACTCGCTGGTGTCATAAAATATCTTTTAACACTGGGGATGAAAATTAAACTTTCTAATTGTACCTATTTACCGAAAAAAATTTAGCTTAAATGGAGATAAATGTACCTAAAAAGTAAATATGTAACTTTATGTGTATAAGTTTTTGAAAGTGGGAGGTTATACTCTCCCTTGGGTACCATATATACTTTTGCACTCTTATCAAACACTCTTTGCTATTAATAATAGCCTTAAAGGGAATTCCTTCGAGTAGTTCAAGCCAAAACTATATTTTAACCAATATTTATGCCCATTTTCAAAGAAAGGGTGCTATTGGAAAAGCTTTCCACACTAGAAAACGCGTTGAAATTCCCCCAAAAAAATAAGACAAAATGTCCCGACAAGTTAGTTTCCAGACTGTGTGCTTGTATCGAATATACGGTCAAATTTAAAAGGCTAAATAATGGGTACAATTCTACTAGCATTTAAATCAAAGGTGGGCACTACCACAAATGAGCGTTAGCTAAAAGTCAGAATGTGTTAGTGTGCCTAATTCATTGTACATGCTGTCACGTTCTCGTCGTTACGCTCTTGCTTGTATACGTACACACGATGATTAGGCACCCTGAAATTGTGCGTATGGAAACTGTGCATACGAAATAATGCATATGAAAAAAACCGAAATAATGCATACGAAAAAAACCGAAATAATGCATACGAAAAAAACCGAAATAATGCATATGTATATGCACAGTTTCGGTTGAAAACCGAAATAATGCATATGAAAAACCC